AACAGCTTTATCCCTGACCTGCCTGGTGTGCTCCTTGGTCTTCATGATGCTGTTCAATCACTCATGTTCTGTAACAAACCTGAGGTCTTCACATTACAGCTCAAGTTAATTTACACACACTTTATTTACTAATTAGGTGACTTCTGAAGGAGAATGGGTTTTCACATTTGTAAAAACAATAAAGGATCACTTTCCTTCCTCTTCACAATTATGTGCTACTTTGTGTTGGTCTGCCATATAAAATCCCCGTAAACTACTCAGAAGTTTGTAACGTGGGAAAAAGTTAAAAACGTTCACAACCACAACGTCGAGGAGTCGTAGGTAAACTTGTGCATTTGACGAACGTGAACTTGTTTTCCTGTCGAGCACGAGGAGAGACAATCTTTAATGGTGACATTCAATTAAAGATGAGTTGCCCGTGCTGCATTCTAATAAAGTCGGTTAGTTTTTAGCTGTGGTTTTTAAAACCAGCCGAGGTTCAGGTAAAACAAGTCAAAGCTGGTGGGGAATCAGTAAACAACAACAACACAGGCCTTTCTGTTAAACACATTTAAATGCAGTTTTTAAAGTTACATTTTAAAATAAAGCCTGTATTTCATAATCAACACGTTTTAACAGGCATTAGCTCGGTGCTGTCAATAAAAAGCTAACTCCTGGTAAAAACAAAACACATTAACAACATTTACCTTTTCAAGAGTTGTTTTAATGTCAGAAGTCTCGCGAGATTTGGAAACGCGATTTGCCTTTACGCCTTTTTTTTTTTTTTACGTTAGTTAACGTTTTCTGTAACGAGAGAGGCTTCATTAGCCAACAAGCTAGCTGGCGGAGTGACTTTTAAACGTTTAATAAAAGTAAAAATTATAAAAGCGACGGTTGGTTTGGATTAAACGGAAGCTGCTTACGTAAAGTGCTAATTCAGCCCATCTCCCCTCACGCGCACCATCAGTCATCCTTGCTAACGCCCCCCCACCCAAAAAGATAAATTAAACAAAAACTGGCTCAGGCCCCACGTTCGGTTTAAAACCACAACGATATTAAATCACACGACGGCCGAGTGGTTGACCGTGTGGATTAGCTGCCATTTTGTGTCAAAACGCGTAAATATCGCGACTAAAACGAGCGAGGAACAGGAACTCCGCTCCAGCAAGTAGACGCAGCCCTTCCCCCACAGCGCAGGGTGCCCTGACTCCAGCACATAGACGCAGCCCTTCCCCCGCGCTGCCTGGCTCGTTTTGTTTTTGTTTGTTTTCGGTTGTTTGCGCATCCGAGCGACGACACCGACCGAAAACACGAACCGGCGCGTGAGCTGTCCGCCCCGAGCCTCGGATCTCGGGTTCCGAGCCGCCCTGCTGCCGCGGTTCGGACAACTTACCCGCTCTATTGTGTCTGGACCTCCGCCACCGTCGAGGCTGCTGCCTGTCGCCCTCTGCGGAACGGAAGTAGCCTCCCGCGGCTGCAGCGGGCTGAGCTGCGCCGGTGCCGCGCTGGAAACTGGACCGAGCCCCACCGTGCGTCAGCTCCACAGCTCACTGAACACGCGTGGAGCACTTTGACACAACACGGACTCGTTTAAACCTGAACACAGCAAACTGTAGCTTTTATTTTAATAACTGCATGTTGGTGGGATTATTCAAGCAGAAAATAATAAAAACTGTAGCTTTTATTTTAATAACTGCATGTTGGTGGGATTATTCAAGCAGAAAACAATAAAAACTGTAGCTTTTATTTTAATAACTGCATGTTGGTGGGATTATTCAAGCAGAAAACAATAAAAACTGTAGAAGTGCGAGGTTTGTCAATATTTTAGGTTTCAGCTGTGAGCGCGTGCATGAACACGTGAAAAAACACGCTTCAACTGACCCCACGTCTGATCCAAGAATGACTCATGTTGTTAATGATGGGGCGATCATCCTGAGAGCACATTAAACTGGGAGTCAACTGGTTTTAAACTACTTTCTGCTTCTGTTGTCCGTAAATTACATTTAAAGTCTCAATATCTGCATCCAGTAGTTACTTATATTACACATTATTTTTAGATCTGCTTTTGGCAGATCCAGGTCCAGCTGCATGGTTGTTGGTGTAACCTGTCTGGTTGTGTTTTATGTTTTATTTAAAGACTTTTAACAGTAAGAGGGAACAATTTTTCATCCATCCATCATCTTTACCTGCGTCTTCCTTTCAGGTCATGGGGTCATGGTGCCCATGTCCAGCCATCACAGGCTGGGGACACCTGGACAGGTCTCCAGTCCATCACAGAGACAC